GTTAGGGACAATCAGGCAGGCAGGCAGGCAGGTGAGCTGTTAGGAGCCAGTAGTCCCGGATAGTGAGAGGGATGTCTGACTGCTGGTTTAGGTCCAATCCCTGTGAGATTGGGCCTAAACCGGCAGTCAGACATCCCTCAAAGGGTCCCATATTGGAGAGGGTGCAGGCCAGGCTGAGGGACAACCTCCCTGTGCATGAATTTCATGGACCGGGCCTCTAGTTCATAAATAAAACATATGATTAAGTTTACCTGTTTCATTGTTAAACATGTAGCTATTTGAAAACTTTGACATTACATATGTGGTTTGCATTTGTAGCTCACACTATATTTCCATTGGACAATACTGATCTACAATATGTATGAGACTCTCATAAAAATTAGCAAAATGAAATCTTTTTATGTAAAACATGGAATCCATCTCCTTGACAGTTTGCCTTCTGAGGCTGGTTAATTTATGTGTAATGTGCTGAAGGGCTGATCTCCCTCACACCCTACCATACAGGTGTGAAGTTTGAATTCAAACTGAGGAAGGCTGGTGGTGGTGTGGGATTCCCCTTTGTGCAGATGGAGAGAGAGCTGCAGCCACCTCAATAATGATCTTGTGAGGAATAAGCGGCTCTTCCCAGGGCAGCCAGCTGAGGAGAGCAGCCACCGCAGCTGGTGGCATTATCCTGGCTGCAAATGGAAAGCCCATGGACGGCTCCTCTTCCAAGTGGGAGGCCATGAAGGCTGCAGCCTGGGTGCATGCTGGTGTTGGCCATGCTCTCCCAGGCCCACCCACTGTGAGGGATGCTCTCGGCTCTTGTCAATCAGCCCTGGCGCCTGCACTGTGATCACCTAAAGAGAGCAGTCTGCAGCACATTCTCACATTTAATTTTTCATCTTAGTTTTAAAATATCTGACCTTGACTCAGCCTTGCTTTAATTAGGCTCATAATGGGATGGAAGATAAACCCTGACTTTTGTGTTGTCTAAAGGTGTAACACATTCTGGGAGGTGAGTGTGAGGGCTGAAGGGACTCCAGTGGGTCCCTTTCTGTCCTCCCCCGCTTTTCTACTAAATTTACAGCTTTTGATGCATAGTGTTGCATTGTTTATCCTGTATCATCAAAAATCCTATATAATGAAAGCCTAATATGCTAAGTGTCTGGTTGGCCATTCAACCAATCAAAGTGTAATATGCTAATGATATGCTAAGGATGCTCAACCGCTCACTATGATGTGCACTGACTACCAGGGGGCAGACAGTCAACCAGTCAACCAGTTGCTATGATGTACACTGACCACCAGGGGGGAAGATGCTCCGACTGGTAGGTGAGCTTGCTGCTGGGGTCCGGCTGATTGGGACTGAGTGAGATGGGCCGGACACTCCCTGGAACCCTCCCCATGGTCCCTCTCCGGCCCTGATCATACACTGGTGGGGTCCCTCGGCCTGGCCTGGGCCCTCTCACAATCCAGTATTCCTTAGGGAATGTCGGAGAGCTGGTTTCTCGGCCCGATCCCACAGGCCAGGCCGAGGGACTCCACTGGTGCATGAATTCATGCACTGGACCTCTAGTGTACTTTATGAAAGACAGTGAAAAGTGGATGCTTTTCAATGCTTATAGCACAAAATCTCTATGGAATACTGTACATATCAGTCAGGGTCCTGGCAGAAAATGAGTCATTTGAGGAGAGTTTAATAAAGGTGTGGGCAAGGGAAATAATGGAGCCCTGGGGCTGGGAACCAGGGTGCAGTGATCCACTCCCCCAAGTCCAAAGGGACATGGGAAGGAGCAATTACCACACCCCAGAAGCTGAGAGAGCTGATGGAGTGAGCTCACTGAAATGAGCTGTGACACGAACTGAGGGACGCAGTCTCCTGTGACTACCCCATGGGGAGGGAGGCAGGCACACGCACACGCGTGCACGCACACACACACACACACACATGCACTACCCAGCTTCCCTCTCCTCCCACCCTGCAGCCCTCACAGACATGCCCCCAAAGCACAGGGCATGCTGCCAAAGCCAGAGGAGGGCCTGGGGTGGGTGAGGAGGGCCCAGGGTAGGTAGGGAGGGCGGAGAGTCCCCAGGACAGTGTATGTATAGGTGGGGATGCCTATCCATCGGCTTCGGATCTCAGAACTGTCCTCTAGAAACTGGGGCAATAGCACAGGTGAGAGGTTCCGAGGGCCGAGCTGAGTGTTGGCTGGTGATGCTGAGAGGGGGGCCTTGGGAGGGAAGGAGGTTGAGACAGCAACAGCACCTTGCTTGAGTCACTGTGTCCCTGAAGAGAAGGCATCATCATTGGTGCACTCCCTCGGGGGAGCTCAGGCCCTGCCTTGCCTCCGCCCACTCTGGGAAATCAGCCCCAGTGGTCTTCTCCAGTTTTCGGAACTGAGGAGCTTATCCAGGTGGGATGGGGAGCGGCGCCAGGGCGGTGGTGGAGAGCTCAGAGGAGACCACAGCCATCCAGCCCCGCACCTAACTGTTTGCCTCCTGTAGGCGGTGCTCCATTTACTGCGAGGGGCCTCTCGGAAGTCACGCTTCTGCCTCTCCTGACGTTTGAATCTCCCCGCACATGGTCACATGTGCAGATCCTGGTCATGAACGCGCTAGAGCCAGGCTCCCCGGCAGCCCCTCCATTTACTGCGAGGGGCCTCTCGGAAGTCACGCTCCTGCTTTGCCGACCCCTCCGGGGGTCTTGCCTGAGATGGACCAGGGCTGGCAGGCAAGATGTGGTGCCCCTGCCCTCTTCATAGGCACCCCATTTCCTGGCTGGTGCGTTTGAGAAGCCCAGCTTTGCTTTAGGTAGGGTTCGACGCCACCTTCTCACCGGGGCCGGAACATAGCTGGCCCCCAAACCTCCATTGGTTGAAACAAGTTCCTAAGGTCTTATCTCTGCCATTTCCCTCCCCTCCCTGCTTCTGCCTCTCCCGACGTTTGAATCTCCCTGCACATGGTCACATGTGCAGATCCTGGTCATGAACACGCTAGAGCCAGGCTCCCTGGCAGCCCAGGCTGATTGCGGGGAAACTGGAAACAAGAGGAGTAGATGCGAAACCAGAGTGTCCATGCTGAGGAGTGGAATGGAAAACAGAATGTGCATCCGCCCTCCTAAAGCATGACTTCCACATGTGGTCCAGGGAAAAAAAAGGCATTGGGATCAGGGAAATTCAGAAGTTTTACCTTGATGCCTGTATTAGGTTCTCTAGAGAAACAGAACCATTAAGATGTGTATGTGTGTAGGTATATATGTGTGCCAATAGCAAGTACATATATATGCATAGAGGAAGGAGGGAGGGAGGGAGAGAGTGAGTAGGGAAGAGAGAGGGAAGGGGTGGGAAGGGGAGGAGAGAGGAGTGAAGAGAAATTTGAAGGAATTGTCGGGCCTGGCTAGTCTAATTCTGCAGGACATGTGGGCAGTCTGGGGGCAGTGTTCATTCTTTCTTGAAGATCTCAGCCTTTTTCTCTTAAAACCTACAACTGATTGATGAGGCCTGAGGGCAATCTGCTTTACTCACAGTCTACTGATTTAAACATTAATCTCACCTGAAAAATACCTTCACAGAAACATCTAGACTAGTGTTTGACCAAATACTGGGCACTGTGGCTTGGTCAAGTTAGCACTTAAAATGAACCATCACAATGCCGCGTGTTGGGTGCCTGGGACACAGACTCCGCAGCAGAGATGTACTGCTCCCGGGAGGATGCGGGAGGCAGGGCGGGGAAGGAATGTGATGCAGCTGCAACAGGGGCCTTGGCTGACCCCACAGAGATCTCTGGAGCTGAGAGGGCCTCTCGGAGCTGTCCTTAAGAGGGGCAAGAGAGCCCGTGCCTTTCATGAGCAGCAACCGGCTCTGGGGCATGGCTGCCCCAAGGGAGGGGCCCGCCTCTGACTTTGGCAGAGGAAGCTCCCTTGAGCGGCAGAAGGGGCTAGCTGAGTGCCATCAGCAGCCGGCACTCCTAGCAGCTGGCAGAGAGGACCTTGGTCCTGGATGGTCTGTGTGGACACCCTGGAATCTCCCGCACCTGCTTACGCACTCGCTCGCTGCATGGGCGTTGGGCAATTGCCTAACTTCTCTAGGGCCCATGATTCCTCATACAAAACGAGGATTAAAATGATCACTTATCATCACTGAAGGTGACGGGTCACTAAAGACAGCACATGGGACTTGGTGACTCAGATCCTCTTGATGCTCAGACTCCAACAGGTTGTTTGATACTGACTTTGGTGGGAAAAGAGCTATGGAAAGGAAATAAGAAAGTTGCCAATTTAGAAAAAAGCTTAGCGGAAAGCAATTGTATTATACATCTGAACAGGGTGAGTGTGGGAAACTGATATAGGGTTGAGCCTCGGACTGACCTGCTGGCAAAGTCACAAACAAGTCCCAGCTTAGAGGGCTCAGTCCTCTAAGCATAATTAGGCTTGACCTTATAACACTCCCCAGATCTTACCTGGGAAGCTAATGGGCTGAGGGAAGTTCAGGGAGTGTAAACATGATCAAAACAGGTGAAACTCACAAGAACTGTAATTATGGAAACCACTGCATTGTTTACCTCTGACTATAAATGGTCGGTGCGGACTGAGCACGGGTGGAAGTCCTTCCTCTTGAGTTGGACTTACCCGCCTGGTCCCCCAATATTTCCAAATTATCTCTTGTCTTTTCTATTTCATTTGTGTG